GAGAGATAAGGATCTAATTCTCATAGCAGAGGGGTCAGTTACCAGTCATATGAATTTAAAGTGATAGGCAAAAGAATTAGAGTTATTAAGATGAAATTCTTTCAGATTGAGGGTAATGGAAAGTTTGGAATTCAGTGTCTGAGAAAGGTAAATAATCTCACCACATTGCATTAATAAGTGCTATGCACTTGTGCTACAAAGTGGGGTTGGCGAGCTGGCTTAATAAAAACCGAAAGAACTGTGGATGCTGTAAATCCGGAACAAAAACAGAAGTTGCTGGTAAAGCTCAGCAGGTCTGGCAGCCTCTGTGAAGAAAAAATCACCAGACCCGAAATGTCAACTGATTTTTTTTTTCTTCGAATCTGCCAGACCTGCTGAGCTTTTCCAGCAACTTTGTTTTTGTTGGCTAGCTGGCTTGTTCAGCTTACACAGACTTACTAGATCAAATGGATTCCTTTTTTGTGCTATAAATTTATGGTTCTCTGGTGAAATATGGTGTTTATCCTAGATTTCGATTGCCATGAAAATTGACTAACAATAACTATTTTGTGACTGTTGGTGTGACTTTGAAGAAGAGTTTTAGGAGTAAGTCATTCTGTACTTCAAGTTGCTTTGAAATCTTTGTATTGATTCCTCAAACAAAGATGGGAAGTGTTCATTTTACAAATACGTTATTCGGTTTATACAATCTTTTGCTGTCCCAAGATGATGGTAAAGTAGAGGTTTGACCAATTTAGTGTGCTAAAGTATATTCCATTGAAAAATAAAAACTCAACAAGAAAGACTCATCCATGTCTCGCTCAAGAAGTTAGGGATAATGTCATTTTAATAGAAGAGCTTATATAACACCAAAGTAACAAGTCTGAGGATTGGGAATGTTTTAGAAACCAGCAAATGGCTACCAACAAAGTTGTTAAAAAGGGAGAGAGTGGAACATCAAAGTCAACTAGCCAGAAATATATTAAGAACTTGAGTATATGAAAAGGAAGGTAGTAACTAAAGTAAACATAGGCCACTGAATTTCTCCTGTCTCTGCTTTTATCATAGGATTAAGGAAATGACAATGGTCTTGAACAAATATAAGCGCAAGTTTATTTCCAGAAATAGACCATAACCAAAGGACTTCAAAGTGATGAGATTTGGGAATTAATATCAACTTGGGTTTGATTTTGTTTATTATTGTCACATGTACTGCAATACAGTGAAAAGTATAGTTCGCGTGCTATCCAGACAAATAACAGCTTACATAAGTACACCAGGGTAATAGAGCAGAATGCAGAGTATAGTGTTACAGCGACAGAGAAGGTGCAGAGAAAAATCAACTCTAATATGAGTCCATTCATAAACTCTGATAACAACCGGGAAGAAGCTGCTCTTGAATCCATCGGTACATGCTTTCAAACTTTTACATCTTCTACCTGATGGAAGAGGTTGCAGGAGAGTATAACTGAGGTGGGAGCGGTCGTTGATTATGTTCGCTGCTTTCCTGAGGCAATGGGAAGTGTAGAAGGAGTCAATAGAAGGAAGAGAGATAACAAGGTGTAGAGCTGGATGAACACAGCAAGCCAAGCAGTATCAGAGGAGCAGGAAGGCTGACCTTTCGGGCCTCGACCCTTCAGAAGAGAATAGAAGGAAGTTTGGTTTCTGTGATGGACTGGGCTGAGTTCACAACTGTAATTTTCTATGCTCTTGGGCAAAACAGTTATGATACCAAGCTGTGGTGCATCCAGAACAGTTGCTTTCTATGGTGCATCTACAGAAATTGATGGGAGTCATTGAGAACATGCCGAATTTCCTAGCTTTCTGAGGAAGTAGAGGCGTAGGTGTGCTGCCTTGACTGTAGTGTTGATGTGGATGGACCAGAACAGAGTGGTGATATTTACTCTTGGGAACTTGAAACTGTTGACAATCTCCACCTTAATACCAATAATACAGACAGGGGCATGTACTCCATTCCATTTCCTGAAGTCGATGACCAGCTCCTCCTCTTTGATATTGAGGGAGAGATTGTTGTCTTTACATGGTGCCACTCAGCTCTCCATCTCTTTCCTGTGTTCTAGCTCATTGTTTGAGATCTGACCCACTGCAATGGTGTCATGAGCAAATTTGCATATAGAATTAGAGCTGAATTTGGTCTCAGTCACAAGTGTATAAGGAATGCAGTAAGGGGCTGAGTATGCTGCCTTCGGGGCACTGGTGTTGAGGATTATCGTAAGAAGTGTTGCCTTTCCTTCCTGATTTTATGGTTTGTGGGTCAGGAAGTAGAGGACCCAGTTGCAGAGAGTGAACAGAGTCCTAGGTCTTGGAGTATGGAGATAGTTTGGTTGGGATTATGGTGTTGAAGGCAGAGCTAAAGTCAATAAGTTGGAGTCTGAACAATATATTCAATGTTAACCTACTTAAATTATAACATTCTGCCCTGGTTACATTGAGTTACTTACGGCACAAAGGGAGGTAATTTGTCCCATTGAGTCCAACCATCTTCTCTTGGGGCAGCTCTCTGGCAAGAATCCTGATGATAGAGATATGAAATTGAGATGCATTATGTAATGGACCTTGTACTGAAACTTTCAAATCAAAAAATGAACACTTAACTGCAAATGTTGGATTATTTATAGGGAATTTATTGCAGGATTTTGTAATGATCACAGGAAATTCACTTTATTAATTTTGTAAAATTTTCTGTCCAATCAGTTGAATGGTCTCATATGACCCGCTTAAGCTGGAAGCCACAGGGCTGCATTGACAAAACCTGAATATGAGGCTGGAGTGCTCGTCCCAAATCAAGATCTGCTGAATAATGTAGCAATGTGGATGAAGACAAGGCAGAATGAATAGGAAGAGACAAAGTTTAACTTAAATTGTCCATCAGCAAATAAGGGTACTGCAGTGACTAGAATTTTAAAAATGGTATAATATGTTCTTTATCTGAATGCAAGTTGCATCCACAACAAGATACATGTACAAGTGCAAATAGAAGTAGATGGTTTAGATTTAGCTTCCATTACATAGATATAGTTACAAGGCTCTTGTGGTGGAGTGTTAGTGTCTCTACCTCCAGACCAGAAGTTCTAGGTTCAAGTCCCACCTGTCCCAGACTTGTGTCCTAATGTGTCTGAGCAGGTTGATTAAAAATATCTCGACATGGTGGAAGATCACTGAGCCAGATTTTGTGCCTGGCTTGAGCATTGAGATTGTGTGATCCCCTGGTAGTTGAGGCTTACTTAAGATCACTCGTTTCTGGGAGGGAAATATCTTTTTTTTTTTTTTTTGCAACTTTTAATTTTGTTGAGTTTGTGCAAAGTTGTTAACTAAACACTATGAAGTCATCCACTTTGGCTTTGTAATTTACATCTCTTGTTAATTTAGTGACACTTCATCTATTGTATTGCATTTTCAGCTTTGATTATTTTTTTGTCTTTCAACTGGCATTCAGCACTGAATCTTTCAGGCATTAACAAAGGATTCCCAGAAATGATAGTTGCAGAGACCTTCCACCCAAGTTGTGAAAATTGTTAAATTGCACAACAAAAAGCAATTAAGTGAAAAAGTACTGATTACACAGATATGAGAAATTGGCTGCAAAGGTGAAAATAGCTCAAATGCTGTTGACAAAATCAATTTCAATTGTAGGAAATGCAGGAGGTAGAGAGTGAGGAAGTTTGGAATATGGATAGACCTGTTGTCAGGAGGAATTGTCGTCAAGGACATGTTGAAGGTCAAGAGTTGACACAAGTGAGAAGAATGATGGGTGGTGTTCTGTTATATAGAAGCAGTAAATCAGTAAATACCATGCTTTTTTATGTAATGATGTCCCAACTGGAGTGCAATAGCATGGTCTTGTATCTATAGCAGCAGATCAAACAGTAAAACCAGAATCTGGACATATTTCAGTTGTAAGTTGCTAAAATAGACTCAGCAGATGTGAAGTGTTTGGGACAATAGAAGTTCCAGAGTAAAACCTCAAAGCCACTTTATGATGTAGAATTGGTAATGTACTTTTTTTTTTGTAGGATGCCCATTTGGAAAACTTCTGCTTCCTAAATGTTGATTTGCATAAAGTCTGCATTCATCTTAATGCAAGTATCTTTTGAAAATCAAATATAATCCTTGAAATTTTCATTGCAAAGAAATGCATACCACAGCATTATGTTTATCCTCCCTTCTTCATTTTTAACCTAGAGTTGTTTTCTGGCAGCCATATGCATTTCTTTAATACTAACTTAGGGTATGCAATATTGATTCTGGTATGTTCTTTACAAGCTAAAATTACAAAAAGAAAACCTACCTTTGAATAGCTATTGAAGGAATAATAGATTTGTATCTAAATGGTAGTTTTTATGTTGTCAAGTTATCCTGTACCACTTCATTGCTAATAGAGGTACTTTTGAAACCCAATTCCTTGTAATATAAAGTAGCATGGACACTGATCTGTTCATCACATAGTCCCAGTAATAGCAAATAGATAACTAGCCAGAAAATGGGCTTTAGCTAATCTTAGTTATGGAATACCGATTAAACTTTCCCAGCTCTTCTCGAATGATGTTATGGGATCTTTTGCAATCCTTGAGGGGCAGATGTTGCCTCAGTTTTGACATCACATCTGAAAGATGGTATATTTAGCAGTGCAACACACTCTTACTCCTGCAATCAAATGGAAAATCAAATATCTAGAGTACGGTTTAAATCTCCAATCTTGCAGCTCAGGGCTAGTGTATGCAAATGAGGTAAAATGAACTGTTTTCATCCTCTTCTGTGCGTTGATTGATGCCATGGTTTGTACCAGATTTATGATCAAGGAAATTTGGGATATGAAATTAAGAGGGGCATCTTGTCGCTTTGGGTCCTCATGACAAGAAAAATGATTCTTGTATACATTCATTTACGAGGTGAAGAGTGTTTATTGGATACAGAGAAATGTTCTTGGTGACAGTTGTAGCAGTTTTGAAATTTGGATTTACAATCTTGTAATGCACTTTTTTTTATTGTTTGCTTTGCAGGAAGTTTGGGGAGCGACCTCAACCCAAACGCCTCACCAGGTAAAGTTCTGTGATGTTTGGTGTGTCATATATCACAATTTTAGTTTAAAGACAAAAGTACAAGAGAGTTCTATGCAATTACATTGTTATGTTGCAACAGAATGTACAGCGTGGGTTTACTTTTAAAGCATTTGGGAAAAACTGCAAAAATAGTTTAATGCTAGAAGTTTAATACCGGGGATCAAAGCTTTACTCAACCAACCTCATGCACCAAATACCTAAATTTGTTGTGGTGACTGTTGTATGAAGTCTGTGAAAATAGGTCAATAAACTTATGAAACCTCATTTCTGCCATTGTGCACATTGAATGCATTCCCTTCTTAGAATTTTTATATGCTTTGGGCATGGAGTTATTTTGGGTATAGTTTATTAAATAGTAGACTGAGAAATGTAAAGAACTAATTTGTAAAATGATGTCTGTCAAATTTGTTTTTGCCTTTTGTTGAGTAAATAACTGTTAGATTAACAACATTAGATTCTTTTGTGACCTTTAATTACTCAACATGGCAATTTCAATCTGTTTTTGAGGTCACTTAAGTATTTTGTCTTATTGAAGAAAACCGTTTTTCTTCAAAAACTAATTTCATACTTGCAAACTTTATACCAAGTGGTGAATGAACTTTCATGCACACCTATTTTTTGCAGTCTACAGAAATCAGTTAAGATTTAACTCTTGCTTAAGATTTTAAACTCATGGTAAACTCAATACTTCATTATTTGTGTTTATTTAGGGAAGCAATGCGAAATTATCTTAAGGAGCGTGGCGATCAAACTGTACTAATTCTACATGCTAAGGTTGCACAAAAATCTTATGGGAATGAGAAAAGGTGAGTTGCTTAGGAACTGAATGTGTGGAACTTTTTTTGTGATTGTGCTTGCCATTTGTCCGGAAAGAAAAGGTAGAGCTTGCATTTATATTGTCTTCTAATGCTTTGGAGTTGTTGTAAACTACTTTGCGATTACTATTTTGTTTTACAAATACAGCTACTCGTCAATAAACAACTGTTATACAACCCCTAGCAAACTACAGATGGCTCATTGACAAAATGATCTGTTTTGTAGTAATTATGTTTCTGGATAGCAGTGTTTTATCAAATAGTGCCATGCTTAGTTCTGTTTATGAAATACTGCTGCTGCTATTTAGCATGCATAAAGTCTTGTGTTGTAATTTCACCAGATTGGCACCTCACTTTTCAGTATGCTTGTTGATTGTCCTTGCATACTTGCCTACACTCATTGAAATGCAGTTGGCAGTCTACTTTGGTTATTAGGTGAGGCATACATTTGGCCATGAATTTACAGATTGTGGTTGGAAACAATGCTGACATTGATAGGCCACAGCACTTTGTTTTCTCAATTTTGAGCTGCTCTAACTGTTCTGAAACCTTCCTATGTAGTGTGTTAAGGCCACCTGATACAATGGATATTGCCTTCACTGTGAAAACAGGACCTTGTCTCCACTGTGCATTGTTTTCCCCCTACCAATGCTGTCATAGTTGTATCTGCGACATGTGAAATTAGTGAGGACAAGATGAAATAAGATTTTGTTTTTGTTGCTTCATTCACCACCTGCAATAGTTCTAGTCTGGCAGAAATATCCTTTTTTACTCAGCTATTTCAGTCAGTAGTGATGCTCTGAGCCACTCTTGTGGTAGACAGTAAAAGTTCCTAATCCAGAGTGTATTCTTTGTTCTTGTCCCTTCCAGTAGTGTTCAAATGGAATATTGATTCGTCAGCCAAGAAAGGTTGCAAGGTTATAATCTGTCAGACATTTCTTTATGCATATTTCACCTGATGTCATGAGGTCCAGAGTCAGTGTTGATGACTCCAAGGGCTCAAGATCCCATATGTGAGTGAACAGGATTTTGTAAGCTTGATTGGGCTGATTGTGCCTCTTGCAATATCTGGTGTCTAAACTGTGCAGTTTATACTCAAACTCTGTCCCGTCCCAATGAAAACTGTCTGTGGTGGGTCTCTATTGCGGGTGGGACAGGGCAAACCTCATAGATGGTGATGGAGGAGTGTGGGACATGCTGCAAGACTGTGACATGATGAACTCTGGTTCAACTAGTCTTTGGATAATTCTCAAGTTGGTGCAAGTTGTCAGATTTAAGTGAATAAGATTTTGCAGGATCAATTAGGCTGATTGTGCTTTCATGTGTACTGCCGATGTCATTGCAGCATATATTCAAACTTGTACAAAGTAGTATAGCAGTAATGGATATATGAGCCTATATACGCGGAGTTCAGTGCACAACTAGGTGCCAAAATGTTACCATGCTGTTGTTGAAGCTCTGCTCTTCAACTGCTACATGGCATATTTGTAGTGACCTAGCCTTCCTTGGCACTGTGTCATTTCCAGATATATGTTGCTTCTTGCACTCATACACTGATTCTTTAATGTTTAGTTTTATAGATCTTACACTTAGCTCAAGATTTTTCCCACCTTCTTAGAATAATATAACCCTGTGGTTTTGAATGGAATGATATGAGATTTTCGGGCAGTAGAATGCTTAATCATGGCCTCCCTGTTAACCAATTCAAGTTAATTCCTGAAGTACAATTAAGCACATTTTCAGATTCTAAAATTCCTAGCAATCTGCTTTGAAATGTGTAAATTTAGAGGTTGGATCCCTGCAGGCCATTGATTTGCGTAGTTATTACGTTCAAAAACTTGTAGTTTGATGACAAGTTTGTGTTTCTGTCACAAATTGGCAGCTAATCATTTGACCATTAAGTTTTATTCTAAATTAGGTACGAACATCCAAACATACAAATTAGCTCTGAGGAAGGGTCACCAGACCCAAAACGTTAACTCTGATTTTTTTTTTTTTCCTTCACAGATGCTGCCAGACCTGCTGAGCTTTTCCAGCAACTCCTGTTTTTGTTCCTGATTTACAGCATCTGCAGTCCTTTCAGATTTTATACAAATTAGGAGCAGGGTAGGCGTTTCGGTTTCTCACCTCCTATGCCATTCAACTCCATCATGGCTGATCATCCACTTGAATGCCATTTTCCTGCACAATTTCCATATCCCTTGACAGCTTTGTCTAGAAATTTATCAATTTCCTCTTGAACATACTTGAAGATTCCACTGCCCTCGAGTTGGGACTTCAAAAGGTTTACCACTGAACAAGTGAAGAAATTCCTCATCTCAGTCTTAAATAGCCTACGTCTTAATCTGAGGATGTGTCCCTAGTTTTAGATACAACAGCTAGGATATGTTCTTCCTGTGTCTCTACCCTGTCAAGCCCTGAAAGAATTTTATCTTCTTAAATATGATCACTTCTAACACTTTTGGATATAAACCCAGCCTCCTTAATCTCTCCTTGAAGAATAATTTCATTCCCCGGTATCAATCTGTGAACCTTTGTTGTACTCCCTGTATGGCAACTATATTCTTCCTTTGATACAGAGAATAAAATTATACACAGCCTGGGTGAGGTCTCACTGAGGCTCTGTATAATGAGAGTAAGAGTTTCTTATTCCTGTACTTAGATCTTGTTGCAATGAAGAACAACATATCGATTGGCTACCTAGTTGATTACTGCACTTAAATGTTAGTTTTCAGTGACTTGATTTATAAAGACATCCAAGTCCTCTTGAGCATCAACAGTTTGCAATTTCTTACCATTTAAGAAATATTCAGCATTTCTGTTTGACCTTGCAAAGTAGATAACTTCACATTATTCCACACAACATTCATTCTGCCATGTGCTTGCCCACTCATTTGGCCCCTCAAATTCCTGGAAACCTCTAGATCCTTCTCTCAAATTGTGTTCCCTCCTATTTTTGTCATCGGCACACTTGGAAATATTATATTGTTTCCACATTCACATCATTAATATAGATTGTGAATAGCTGGAGCCTAAGTGCCGATACTAGTAGTACCCCACCAGGTACTACTTCCAACCTGAGAGTGATTCATTTATTCCTTCTGTGTTGTGTTATCATTCCTAATTGCAATTCCCGATCCATGCCAGCGTATTAATGCCAATGTATACAAATGATGTGGATGAGTGTGTTGGGGGGAATCGATGATAAGTAAGTTTGCAGGTGACAATGATTGGCTGGGTATTTGACAGTGCAGAAGAAGGTCTTAGGTTACAGGAGAATATAAATGGATTGGTCATGTGGGCTGATCAGTGGCAAGTGGGTTTTAGCCCTGATAAGTGAGAGATGATTTGGAAGAAGGAACAAAACAAGGGAGTACTTGATTTGCAGGATACTAGGAAGCTCAGAGGAGCAGAGGGATTTTGGGATGTTTGTCCACAGATACCTGAAGGTGGCAAAGCAGGTTAATAGAATAGTTAAGGCATTTGGGACACTTGCCTTTATCAGTGGAGGTACAGACTATAAGGTCAGACAGGTTAATTGGGTCCAGTGACCATTCTTCAGAATGGAGGTTGAGTTGTGAGTCTCATTTATGCTTAAAGATGGATTACTGGATATGAAATGTTAACTCTGCTTTCTCTCTACAGATGCTGCCAGACCAGCTGAGTATTTCCAGCAAGATCCAATTTTGTTGCCTGAATGGAGCACTTTAGCTGTGAAGAGAGGCTGGATAAGCTTGGATTGTTTTCTTTAGGTCAGGAAAGGTTGAGAAGATAGAGATGTATAATTGAGGGCTTGGACAGAATGAATAGAAAGCAGCTATTCCCCTTAGTTGAAGACTCAACAGGGGGCATAATTTTAAGGTGAAAGGCAAGATATTTAGAGGGGATGTGAGGGCAATCTGTTTCATGCGGAGAGTGATGGGTGTCTAAAATGCACTACCTAGGTGCGTAATTGAGGTGGGTAATCTCACTACCTTTAAAAGATCCTTGGATGAGCACTTGAAATGTAATAACATTCAAGACTGTGGGCCTACGGCTGGAAGGTGGGACTATTGTAGATTTAGTGTAGTTTTGACAGTACAGACATGATGGGCTGAAGTCCTCTTCTATGTGATTCTATACTGCCCCCTTCCTATGTGCTTTAATTTTGTTTACTAACTTCTTGTATAACATCTTACCAAAGGCCTACTGAAAATCCAAATTATCTGTTCGGCTAGTTACATCTTCAAAAAGTTTTTGGCAGGTTTGTCAAACATGATTTTCCTTTCATAAATTCACGTTGACTCTGCCTGATCCTGCCATTATTTTCAAAGTGTTCTGCTATCGCATTACGAGCAATAGGTAGATGACATTTGCTTCCTTCTAGTCTGCTGGAACTGTTTCATATTGATAGGAATTTAAGATGCCCACCAACCTATTCACTATCTTTACAGTCACCTCATCCATTGCTCTGACATGCAGATATCAGGTCCAGGAGATTTATCCACATAAATCCATTTATTTCTCCACTACTTTTTTTAAACTACTGCTAGTTTCTTTCAGTCCTTGTTCTCATTAGTCCTTTGGTTCTCATTTCTGGGAGATTTTTTTTCTATCTTGTTCTGTGAAGATAGACGCACAGTATTTGTTTAGATTCTGTACAATTTCCTTGTTCCCCATTGTAGATTCTCTTGTCTCTGCCTGAAGTAGTCTTTGCTCGTCTTTGCTCGTCTTTGCTCGTCTTTGCTCGTCTTTG